GGGCGTGGGGGGAGGGGAGGCGGCGTGGGGGAGGGCGGTGCTGAGGGGCGGCGGTCGGGAGGTCCCGCGACGTCTTCTCTGTAGTACTATCACCATTGTGGGGGTTGGGGGGGCAGGGAAGAGCTAGGGGCGTAGAGGCGGTGTGGTTGTGGGACCCGGGAGGGGGCCCAAGGATGGCGGAGGCTTTTAAAATACGGTGGCGTGCTGGGAGGGCTTGAAGGCATAGTGAGGGAATTTAAAATACTGCTATTCGAGAACTGAGCGATAGCAGGACTATCGAGGGATTTTTAAATGTGACTACTGGGATCTGGAAGGGAATAGCAAGATACCGAGGGCTTTACTAACAATGTTATTCCGGGACTAAAAGATCTAGAAGCAGAGTATCGAGGGCCTTTTAAACACACGAGGGTGGAAGGGCGAGGAGGGACATCGAGGGCTCTTTGGAATTATTAATGAGCTCCAAGGATTCAAGAGTATTGAAGGATTTGAAAAAATAGGGGGTAGTGGACAGCGATACTTGGGCCTGGGAGGGTTTTAGGGAGGATCGGGTAAGTGTGGTGGCAAGGATATTGATGGTCTTAAATATACTGAATTGATAGTGCGAGGAGGAGTGAAGACTTAGGTACTATTGGGAGAGAAACCTGAGATTTTCTAAGTTTGGGGGTTCATAGGGCTACCCTTGCAGAGCTGATCATTGCAACATCTAGGGCGTTTTAGATACAGGTGTGAGAGGAACAAAAGGAGTTGTAGGAAAAATAGAGTTTTGTAAATATTGTTGTGAGATTGAGAAGGCAGCTGAAGATACTGAGGTGTAGCATTATTGCTGAAGGCTGAAAAGAATGAGCGGGGCCTCTCTTTTAAAAATGGTTTGGATTGTCTTGGTTGTAGAAACATTGGGAGGCTTGAAAGGGATAAGCAGAGGTATCAACTTTTTGTTTTATTACCGTTTTAGACGAGTAGGATTGTGTTTATTGGTACACTGGGCCATAGCTAGTGCGAAACATATCTCCTAGAGGAAAGTTGGAGGGAGGCTGGAGAAAGATGATATCTTGAACCCTCCTTGGAAAGAAGGCATGGAAAGGGAAGGAAGGGGGTCATTTCCTGCTCCCTCCTAATTTTTGCTTCTTAAATTGTTCTCCCACTAGAGATTAGGATTTTTCTGGTTGAAGGAAAAGGGGTAGAGGAAAAATGGGCAGGCTTTGATTCATTAGTTCAGATTACTTTAGTGGAAAAGTTGAGTGTTTTTCAGAAGTGAAAATAAGGGGTAGTTTGGGAGGTCCACAGGTAAGTTCGGGGCTGTTGGGAGAACAGTTACTTCCTGTTGATCTATTTCCTGATCTTCCTGAGAAATCTTAACTAACTTTTGTTCTACAACTTTCTTGGGGTGGAAAGAGAGGCATCTGTAGTCCAGTGTTAGCCTTGTGAAGATAGGATGGATAAAGGGGAGCAGCATTAGGGGAATTTCGATGTCTGAAGTGGTATTTGCATTCTGAGGATGATTGTGGTAGTAGAGTACAGATATGAATCAGTGTATGTACGCTAGGTGTTTGTTTAGTGGTGGTCTGGTTAAAGTGAAAATGAGTTCTGGACACTTGAAAGTTTTGTAGGATATGATTTTTTTTTTAAAGACTTATTTTTGCATTCAGAATTGGGGTGCAAAGGCAGTGAGAGGATTCACTAGTAAGAGTGGAGAGCAGAGCTGGCGAATATTCTGAAATACATTGCTGGAGGGAGCGGAGAGCAGGGAGCTAGACAGGAGTGGTCTGCTCTGCCATGAGAGTCAGCTTCCTGGCTGGGGATTGAACTCAGGCTATTGCATAGCTCTAAGACTGACCTCTCTGCCCCTAGGGAGGCCCCAGAATATGGATTTCTTAAGTGTGAATGATGCTTTTTCCTACCATGAAAAGATTTTTAGCACAAGGATGGACATAGATTGTGATGAACATGGGAAATAATGAAATAGGTCACATGTGGAAAGGTTGAAAAAAGAAGGTCTATGATTTCAAATTTCTTTACCTTTGGAATGTTGACAGTTTTTCATACAAACTGATTTTATTGGTAGAGATGCAGAAGTTCTTTTTGTAAGGATTTATTTATTCATACAAGAGCTGGGGGGTAGGCCAGAAGTGTTTGGGGGGAGGGGTGGTGAGAGGATTCACCAGAGACAGAGTGGGATGCAAAATAGGCACAGTGGCTGAAATACACTGCTGAGGGGAACAGGAGAGGTCTGCTGTGCCCTGTGGTCAGTTCCTTGGCCAGGGATCGAACTCTTGATGCAATGTCTGGAGATACTACTCATAAAATCATGAATAACTCTTGCTGCAGTGGGAGGCCCAGAGATACAGAAGTGTTTTTTTTAAAGATTTATTTATTTATGCATACAGAACTGGGGTACAAGCCAGAGATGCAGGGTGTGAGAAGATTCACCAGAGACAGAGTGGGGAGCAGAACAGGTGGATCTACTAAAATACACTGCTGAGGGTAGCAGTGGGCGGGACAGGAGAGGTCTGCTGTGCCATGTGGGTCATTTCCCTGGCCAGGGGTTGAATTCCTGCTTCATAGTGCTGTGCTTTAATCTGTCATGCCCCCAGGGAGGGCCCCAGAAGTATTAAATGTACTTCTTATGTCTTTGGTAGAAGGTGACAAGTTTTACTCTAATTGTGTGGTGTTATTATTTTTTTTTAATGTCAAAAGTGAGTTTGAACTTAAATCTTCTTACAATGTTTTTATTAGGCTTTCCTGACTGTTTTTGCTGATATGTATAAGTAATCTGTAATTTTATGAATAGTAATTATCTTTCAAAATGATTTGAGTTTCATTGACCCATTTGTTTTGAGCTTTATATTGAATGTAAGCACATATCATCCTTCTAAAAAAATCTTGTTTTTGATTTAATATTAAGGTGTAAAATCATTCTGACTTTGCCAATGTAATGGCTTTTCTAGAACTTCAGAATAAAAGTACTTTTTTTTTAAGATTATTTATGCATATAGAAGTGGGGTACAGGCCTGAGGTGTGTGTGTGGGGGGGGGGTTGAGAGGATTCACCAGTGACAGAATGGGGAGTAAAATAGGCAGATAGACTGAAATACACTACCGAGAGGAGCAGTGGGCTGGTCAGGAGAGGTCTGCTGCTCCATGTGGGTCACCTCCCTGGCTGGGGATTGAACTCATGCTGTAGTAGCTGTAATATCATCATTGAGCTGTGCTTTAAGGTTACACCACCAGGGAAGGCCTAAAAAGTACTTATTTTTAACTTATTTAAGTAATGGTCTTGAATGGAAGCCCTAATAAAAAATAATAAATGCAAATGCAGATATACATTCAGTTTTTAGTCTTGGTGTATTGTCATGGGAGTTTATTTTTGTTTGTTTAGACATCCTAAAATGTAATAAATGATACCCTAAAGTGAGTTATAGTTGCAAATTTACTTTTTGCATGTTGCAGATTCAAGGAAATTTTCATAGCAGATTGACATGTTGCTACAACATGGTGTTTCAGAGCAGTTGTTATGCTTTCAGAATGTAGTTGCAGTGGGTATGCTGGAATCATACTGTGAATATGCTCATGATTTCCTATTGCACTTTCTTACTTAGCTTAATTTATAGTTTACATTTATACAAGTTTGCAGTTTTTAGGGTTTTTAAAGTATGTTACATCTTGTGAGTGGTAAACCAAATGTAATAATAGGTTATTTTTAAGCAAATTCTGTTTACGTGTGACTATTCCCCTATAGACAGATTAGAAGTGCTCCATGCTGTTAGGTCTTATCTATTACCTTTTATTCCTTTTTTTTGTATGTATTGGAACTTATACTGGAGGAAAGAGAGAAAGAGGGGCCTGGAAGAAATTATTTAACTGGCTGGGGAAAACTCAGCAGTAAAGGGAGAGAAGTGATCTTAGTCAAGAAATTTATGTAATTCTTTTCTTATTGCTTGTATGAACAAACCCTCATTTAATGTTCTAGAAAACCTAGTCATCAAGACTTTGAAGGGAATATATGCAATTGGGCTATGAATGCATTTTTTTTAAAGATTTATTTTTGCATACAGAACTGGGGTACAAGCCAGAGGTGCAGGGGCAGTGAGAGGATTCACCAGAGACAGAGTGGGGAGCAGAACAGG